CCCGCGCTTTGTGTGCGGGGTTTGGGGGGGGGACCCTGGCCCCGAGTGTGTGGCTATGGAAGGTGGGCACCAGCCCCAGGCATGCGGCGAAGTATCTGCCCACGCTCCGGGCACGCAGTGCATGGGGAGCGCCGGCCCTGGACGCGTGGCTATGTGGGGGGAGAGGCGCCGTCCCTGGGCACGTGGCGAAGCGGCCGTCCGTGCTCCTGGTGTGCAGCTATGGGGGGCGCCGGCCCCAGGCAGGTGGCTCATGGGGGTGTGGCATATGCGCGGCCCCGCCCTCTGGTGCCCGGCAGGCGAACGGCCACACCCCCTGGTGCCCGGCAACCTCTAATGGTTGGGGACCACTGCTGTATTCTATCTCCACAGAACGGAGGGGGCACAACAGGGCTTGGGATGGAGGGAATTTGCGGGCTGCTTTTGGGAGTGGTGTGGGGCCAGGGCAGGGGTGAGCCTCCATTAGCCCCACTGCACCATCACCCAGGAGCCACATCCATGTGGAGCCAGCTCTGAACCCCTGCCCCAGTCATGAATTCCCTCTTGCATCCCAAGCCCCTTCCCTGAGCCCCCCTGGACCCAAACTTTTACAGCACCTGTACCCTGAACCCTTTCTGTACCCCAACTCCCTGCCCCAGGCTCAGCACAGAGCCCCTCCCATACTCCAAATCCCTTAGCCCAAGACCAGAGCCTGTGCCCCTAACTGATTAAAGGAAGGGAGAATGAGGGAAGGAGGTCTGAGTGAACAGCGGCAGGGTCTCGCTGAAGGGGCACAAAGGGGCTACGTCTACACTGGCCCCTTTTCCGGAAGGGGCATGTAAATTTCACGAGTCGTCGTAGGGAAATCCGCGGGGGATTTAAATATCCCCCGCGGCATTTAAATAAAAATGTCCGCCGCTTTTTTCCGGCTTTTAAAAAAGCCGGAAAAGAGCGTCTAGACTGGCCCCGATCCTCCGGAAAAAGTGCCCTTTTCCGGAGGCTCTTATTCCGGAAAAGGGGCCAGTGTAGACGTAGCCAGGAGGTGGGGCAAGGATATTTGGGTTTGAGGTAGATCCTGGATTGCATTTAAATTAAAAAACTGATCCTGTGCTTAAAAAGGTTGGAGACCCCTGCTCTAGGCTCTGCCCCACTCTCTGCCCTGCAGCTCAGCCCTCTCATCAGCACCCTACTCCTTAGAGCAGGGTTGGGCAAAAGCCTCTCAGCAGCCCGCCTAGGGCTTTGGTCTAGCCCCCGAGGCTATTCCAGGCCCTGCCCCCTAACAGGCATGCCCAACATGTTGGGGGAAGGAGCTCAGCCCTGCCCTTCCTTCCCCCACACAGCTGATGGAGGAGGCAGCGCTGAGGTGCCACCACTGGCCACGCAGTCCAGGGCTGGCGCTGGAGGCACATGGCGCCTCTGGGGCCGGCGCCAAGCTGCCTGCCTGAGGACATGTGGCTGCGGTGCCTTTGGTGCAGGTCGCATGGCCGCGGCAGCGGTGCCTCTAGCTTCCGGGGCTGGCCCTGGGCTGTGGCGCCTCAGGACGGCCCTGGATTGCGAGGCTGTGGCAGTGGCCTCCGGGGATAGCCCAGGGTTGGCCCATGGCTGTGACAGTAGCGTCTCCAGCCTTCGGAGCCGGCCTGAGGCTGCATGGCCATAGCAGCAGTGCCTCTGAGGCCGGCCCCAGGCCTCATGGCCATGGCAGCGATGCTTCTGGTCCACCTCTGGCCTCCGGGGCTGATCTGCAGCTATGTGGCTGTGGCAGTGGTGCCTCCAGCCTCTGTGGCTCTGCTGCCTCCAGTCTCCACTCATTCTTCCCCCATTCTGACACCCCGGGGCCTGGTGCAGGGCAGAGTAGAAGTCCATGGGGCAGAAGAGCCTGGAGGGTAGGTGGGAGGGTTCTGAGGGGTTTCCCTCTGTCTGCTGGGGCCAGGATGTTGTGCTGGCTTCTTTACTTGTGGGGTTAGGGGGAAGCCTGTGCTTTTTGAGGCACCTCACTGACCGCCCTACTCCTTCATTTTGTGTTTGCAGAACCTGCCGGCCCTGGGGGGCCTGATTGGGGTCACCAATGCCCGGCTGGGCACCATCAAGACACGGTGAGCTCCCTCCCACACACACATCCTGCTCTGGAGGCCAAGGAAGCCCAGAGCTAGTTCCACTGGATAGGTGGGTGCCCCAGGAACCTCCCCTGGCTTCCCTTATAGTAGATCCTGGGGTCTCCCCAGAAACCTTTCTTGGTTCCCTTTATAGGAGGATATCTGAGTCTCACAGCCCCCAGTATAGAGCCCCCTGCGGAAGCTCTGCCCCCACTGGCTTCCCTTATAGCGGATATTGGCGCCTACCGGTAACCCTCCCTGATTCCCTTTATAGGAGGACATTGGAGCGCCCCATCCTCTCTTATTGAGCCTCCCAGGAACCACTCTCTAGCTTCCCTTGTAGGGGATACCAGAGACTCCCTATTCCTCTGGGAACTCCCCCCCCAATATTCCTAGCAGGAGCTGCCTCCACCCATCTCCCTCATTGCCCCTCCTAGGTCCCCTCCACAAGCCTTCTCTCCTTGCTTCCCCCATGTGCTTACTCTGCCCCTTCCCCCCAGGTTTGAGGGCCTGTGCCTGCTCTCCCTGCTTGTGAGTGAGACTCCCACAGAGGCCTTCCAGCTGCACTGCCTGAGTTGGCTGCGCAGCCTGCAGCACTTGCTCCAGGTGAGGAGGTTGGGAGTTGAGCTAGGAGCATGGGAGAGGGATATGCAGTGGGGCGGGCTGGGGCTGTGAGTGAGTTGGGTGGCTTTTTAGGAGAAGGGAGTTTCAGGGGAATGTGAAAGGTGTGGGACAGGGAGTGGGGAGCAAAGAGGTTGGGAAAGGGGGCAGAGCAGGAGGTATGGGCAGGATGGAACAAGAGGTGTGGCCTGACACCTGCCCCCATTCCGCAGTCCCAGGACCCGGCCTCTACCATGGCTCTGGGGGTGGCTGTGCTGCGTGACCTGCTACACTACTCTTGCCAGCTGCCTGAGCTGGCCCGGGACATTGGCACCAACCACATCCCTGGGCTCCTCACATCTTTGCTGGCCCTCAAACCTGAGGTGAGTGTGGCCCACACCCCTCTTGCAGCTTAATCCCTCTAGGGCCAGGTGGAAGTGAGGCCCTAGAGGGGACAGGCCCCCTGCTTCATTCCCCACCCCTGTGAGCCAGCCAGTCCCTACCCTGGGGCCAGGTGGGAGCTGGCACCCCAAAGAAGGCAGTGTCTGACTGCATCTCCGCTCTCTCCCCAGTGCCAGGTCTCAGCTTTGGAAGGCATCAAGGCCTGCATGACCTTTTACCCACGGGCCTGTGGCTCTCTCCGGGTAGGTCTGTCTCCCTGCTGTGGGGAGGACTACTTTGTTGGGGCCCCCAGGTGTTGTGGAGTGTTGGCTGCCTGGGGCTTGGAGGTTGGCTGCTTACCCGTTTTCTCTCCTCACCCTCAGGGCAAACTGGCTGCCTATTTCCTGTCCCATGTGGACTCGGATTCGCCTCAGCTGCAGCAGGTACTGTGTGGGGCTGGGCTGGGCTGGGCTAGCTAGCACAGCACTCTATGCTATGTGCTGGCCCAAGGCATGCTAGGAAGAACCCCCCGGTCAGCTGTGTGTGGTTATCTCCACCTTCCTCATCTGGGCCTGCAGGGATCTGCAGGGACTGGGGGGGTTTCCCCTGGCTGGGAAGGGTGGCACTTTGGGGAGAGTGTGGGGAGAGTTGCTCCATCATGATATATGGGGAGAGTGTGTGGGGGTAGCGCATGGGGGAGCAGATGGGACAGCATGGTTGGTTGGCCCTGGGATGCAGAGGGGCTGGGGGCTTTGTTACAGCTGCATTAGGGGCGGGGATCACCTATCCTGTGGCTGTGGTTGGCTGGCAGGGGCTACCCTGAGTATGAGAGGAGGGAAGCCAGTGGGGGGCCCGTGCGAGGCATCTGGGACTTCCCCCTGGTTGGGTGCTGCTGACGCTGTCTTCCTCCTCAGCTGGCATGTGAATGCTATGCCCTGCTGCCCTCACTGGGTGCTGGCTTCACTCAGGGGCTGAAGCATAGGGAGTGCTGGGAGCAGGAGCTGCACGCCCTGCTGGCCACGCTGCACAGCCTGCTGGGAAACCTTTATGAGGCTGCCGAGACCGGTAAGGTGATAGGGCAACCGGTTGGGAGGAGGGGGTGAACCCAGGTGGTGTCTGGTGGATTGGTGCCCCAATGGCGGGGGAGTGAACGTAGGCATCCTGTGGATTGGTGTCCCCTCTGGGGTTGCCTCAGCATTCTCCGGGGGCAAAAGCCAGTGCAAGGGTAGGGGGGCAGTGAACTCAGTCATCCTGCAAGGCAGGACTCCCTTTCCCTAGGACTCTCTGGTCTATGGGGAGGTATAAAAGCTGCAGGGAGGGAAGTTTGGAACTCCGGTGTCTGACCCGGTGCTGTGGAGGGGTAGGTACACCAGCCACTGACAGTTTCGGCTCTCCCCCAGAGCCCCTGCCCCAGGAGGGCCCAGG